CCCTTGACGATTGTGGTGCAAAGCAAAGAAACCCTTCCTGGGTTGTGAGCAGAAAATGCTCCCCCTCAACCTGTGGAGGTTAAGGGACACATCTGAGGTCACCCAGCTGGGGAGCAGCCAGGTGAAGAGAAACACTGAAACCGTGCCTGTGTTCTATGTGCTCACCTAGGCTGGCCATCCCTTGGACTTTATTCGTAACAGCTACTACTAGAGGAGGTGTGTTATGGGAGCATCCAGTCACCTAGCAGCCCAGGCCCTCTGTGAGTCTTGATTGAAGCATCTCTGTGCCACCCCACGGTGAAGTGTTTCTGTGCTTATTTCTCCACATGGTTAACATCTGCTGGGCACCAGCTCTGTGCAGGGCCCAGTACTGGCAATCAGGGGGACCAAGCCAAAAGATGGAAGACCCTGGGAGCTGAGCCAAGCAGGTGGCACAATTACAATTCATTTACGTCCAGCAGGGAGCCCAGCCGCCCACAGGGCCTGGGTGGTGGTGGGGGTGGGAGGAAGAGGGCACAGTGTGTATCTACCTGGTGTCACACAGGACTCTCAAATGCGAGCACGGCCACAGGAACTCATCTCTGCCCCTGTCACCCCACTTACCAACACTTCCTCTCACAAAAGCTGAGACGAAAGGCAACTGCCGGCGTGATCCCCATGTCAGAGAAGGAACCCTCCCATCCTCTGGGCCCACACACAAGTGAGAAATCTGGGACCCTGCTCGAGCCCTCTCCCTGCCCTCTCCCTCCCTAGAGCCTGTATCCTCCTCTTTCTCTTAAACCCTCTGCCTTAGGAGGCCCAGGCCCTCACCGTCTGGTCTGGCCTTCTGGCCTATTGCAGAAGGCACCCTCTGCTCCAGGATTATCTCCCTGCTGCCCAGTTCACCACACAGCGGGTCTGATCATTGTCATCCCCTCACTTCAAACCCATCGGGGCTCTCCACAGCCCTTGGGGTAAAGGTCCCAGGCCCATGGCAGATGGGAGCAGGCTGACAGATTCAGGTGCTTGCTTGAAAGAAGGTACTGAGGGGCGCCTGGGTGGCTCAGTCGTTAAGCGTCTGCCTTCAGCTCAGGTCATGATCACAGGGTCCTGGGATCGAGCCCCACATCGGGCTCCCTGCTCGGCGGGAAGCCTGCTTCTCCCTCTCCCACTCCCCCTGCTTGTGTTCCCTCTCTCGCTGTGCCTCTCTCTGTCAAATAAATAAATAAAATCTTTAAAAAAAAAAAGAAAGAAAGAAAGAAGGTACTGAGAGCCTCCTGTGGGTCAGACTCTGTTCTAGGCACTGGGGACCCTGGGGTGAGAAACATGGGCAAGGCCATCTGGGGAAGGAGGCCTTAATGCCCCAAAGCAGAGACCAAAATCTCTGCTATGTATCTGTCACATGGATGACACATAAATCAATGCTGCCAATGAGAATATGGATGGGGAATATTCCAGGATCCACTTTTTGATGTGGGTGGCTGGGCAGAGGAAGCCTCTGGGAGGAGAGGACATTTCTGCCAAGATTTGAATGAGGAAGAAGAGGAGGAGGAGGCCACCACCACGGGAAGTTCTTGGGGTGGGTTGTCCCACATGGAGGAGGAAGGAAGGCAAAGGCCACAGGTGAGAAAGAGCTGGGTGTGGTGCTCTGGGGCCAGCTGAGAAGGCCAATGAAGCAAGAGTTTGGTGAGAGGTGCTAGGGGCGGGTGGTATGGAAAGAAGAGGCCAGCTCCTTGGGGGACGGGGGGTGGAGAGGGATTGTTGGCCAGGGAGGGGACTTTGGAGTTTCCTTAGTCTAAGGAGATGGGGAGCCACAGGGAGGACTGGTCACTGGGGAGGGAGCGGGGTCTGGTGGTGTTGCAGAGTTTGCTCTGGCTGCCATGTGCCAAGTAAGGTAGACAGAGAGGCCAGTCTGGAGGCTGGGAGAGTAGGAGACGGGGGCCAGGAACCATGGAGACATGGAGAGGGTCAGCAGTCATCAACTGGAGTTGATAAAAATCCCACTGTGGGTTAGATTGGGAGTGAAGAACAAAGGAGAGGGAGAGGGGAGAAAAATCCTGACATCTTTGCTGGAGTAACCGGGTGGAAGGCAGAGCCCTTGGGGAAAGCCCAAAGAAGAAGCTAGTGTGTCAAGAGGGATGAAGCGCTCCTGTTTGGACACCTTCATTCTGAAATTCCCATGGGGCATCCAAGTGGGCAGTTTGATGAGCATGTGTGGAGCTCAGAGAAGGGGTCCCGCCCAGAGACAAAACACTTGGAGCCATCAGCAGGCAGGTGGTCTCTTGGATGAGAGGACTTCAGGTGAGAGTGGTGTTGGAGGCACCAAGGGTCCTGGGGCTGAGGCTGGGAGCCTACCACCAGGGAGGAGAAGGAGGAGGGAGTTCCAAGAACGGGCAGGCAGAAAGGGAGGAGATTAGCTCAAAGGTGGGGGCTCACAGAAGCCAAGAAAGGAAAAGGTTTTGAGGAAGGAGGGTCAACTGTGCTGAGAAGTGGAGCAAAATGAGGGCTGAGAGGTGACAAAGGAAAGGTAGTTGAGGTGTCACAGCCCAGCCCTGGCAGAGGGGGAAATGGGTACCCCAAGGTAGAGCCAGAGAGTCCTGGACTTGGAGTCAGCAGGTATGGAAGGAAGGAGAGTAGGAAGAGGCGAGGCTGAAAACAGGGAATGAATTGACAGTCGGCCCACAGGCCAGCTGGCCAGTTGGTGACATGGGACCCACATATGTTCCCATGGGAGCACCCTCTCTGAGGAAGGATCCCAGATAAATCATGGCAGAAACCAAGAAAGAGGACAACGTGGGGTGCAAGCCATGGGAGGGCTAACACCAAGGTTCGGTGGACAGAAATTCTTGCGGTGGGTGTTAAGAGCAGCAGTTCACCTGTATTAGAAGAGGCAGTCTTGGCCCTCAGCGGGGAGAAAGGGAGGGAGTCCACACACGAGGCTGACTGGGAAAGCTGGTTTGTGACAGAACGCCTGTGTTTCTTCATTTACCCAGGATTTACCACCCAGGAGATAAGAAAGCTGGGGAAGTAAGACCACATGGGCCAGCCAGGCTCCAACTATGAGACCAACTCCAATGTGGCCTGCTTCTGGGCAATGGGAATGTGTAGAAAAAACGAGAGTGCCTTCAGCCTTGATGCTAGGAACTCTCTCCTAGAAACAGGCCAATGAGGCTTCTCAGCAGTGGGGAGGAAATGAGCAAAGGAGATTCACAGAAGGGGAACTGGGAATGGCTGACACATTTGTGCAAGGATGCCCAACCTCACTGCCGACCAGGGAAACACAAGGCACACAATAATGAGGTAGCACTTCTCCCCATGGGGGTGGGCAAGTGGTCAAGGCTGGACAAAACCAAAGGCTGCTCAAGCTGTGGGGCACACAGGACCACACTTGTGCTGCTGGCGGGAGTGAACACAGGTTCAGCCACTCGTGGGAGATAACAGAATAGCAACACCTGGCCGTGGCGGTGATGGGCACCCAAGTGCCCAAGTCCCAGCAAAACCACTTTTTGGTGTATGCGCCAACAGCAGCTCAGACAGGCGTGCGCAGGGTGCTGTGATAGCCGAAGACTGGGAACAGTGTGAATGCCCATCCATAAGATCATAGACAAATAAACCAGGGCTCTGATTCAACAAGGAGCATAAGTGAGCTGGATGCTCGGAGGAAACCTTGACCAGTATAGCTTGAGTGCGCAAAGCAAGTCACAGAAGAGGATGTCTGGCCAGATGCCAGGCAAGGAAAGAGAAGGGGGGCGGACAGGCAACAACACCGGAGGGTGTGACCCTGAGGGAACCTGTCTGCCATCTGACCGGCAGAGAGGCTCTGCACACGGCCCCAGACGCCCATGACAGCACAGATGCAGGGTGCCGAGACCCAGCGGGACTGGAGCTCCATTTTGAGTGGTGGCAGCACTGCCCTGGTACAGTGACCAGCCTAGGTAGCAAAGGAAAGGGGAAGGATCTGTGGAAGGAGGCTGACTCGGGGCCAGACAGACGGAGGTCTCTGGGGAGGCATGACACCCATGCGGCCCTCAGGGGCCAAGAGAGCAAATGTCTCAGAGCCCATTACGCTGGCGAGGGCACAGGGGGCAGGGGACACATCCAGTGCTCCACTCCCAGCCCACCGGCTGTCCTGTACACACACCCCCTCAGGTAGAGACCCCAATTCCGTCGTTCCACGGAGGCCCAGAGAAGGGGCAAGGACTTGCTCAAGGACACATGGCAAGATACAGGCCCAAGGGGTTGACTTCTAAGTACTTGAAGTGAGCAAAACAGGACAGAGTCCGTGGCACCCTCCTTGGGGCTGGCCACTGGCACTGGGGTAGCGACGCGCCCTGGGGGTCACCTGGGGGTCCGAGGGGGGCGTCGTGCACCCACAGCGGCCTCGGCCCCCAGCGAGAGCGTGGGGACTGCCGACCCTCCGTTGGGGTGGAGTGTGTGTGTGCGCATGTGGCGTCTGTTCCACGTAATCGCACCCGGACCAGGTGCTTCTCGCTGAGCGGGGACAGGACCAGTTCTGGGTGGGCTGGAGGAGGGGGGAAAGCAGGCGAAGAAGTCCCCAGAACGCCCCCCCCCCGCGCCCCCGCCCCGGTCCCGTTCCCCACCCATGCCAGAACGCAGCGCTGGGGGGCGCATCTCAGGCCTGTCCAGCCACTCTCCGGTGCGCACCCGGGGATGCGGAACCCTCGCCACGCTGACGCCCCGAGGGCACGTTCCGGGAGCGGCGGGCCGTGGACAGACATGGGTCGAGGATGGGGGCACCGACTCGCGGATCCCCAGGGTCCCCACCTGCGCCAGCACCCCCTCGGGGGCGGGGGAAGGAGCAGGTGACGTCACGCGCGGTCCCGGGGTGCCCGCGGCGGTGGCCGCAGCCCGGCCGCGTGACCCGCGCGCGCCAATGGCCCGGCGATCTCCGGGGCGACGCGGAGGGTCCGCGCTCCGCCGCCACTGCGCCCCCGCCCCGAGTCCGCACTGCAGAGAGTGGAGGCGAGCAGGCGCCGGCGCGCTGGCCCACGTGCCGCGCGGAGAGAGGGACCTGGAGAGGAAGAAGGACAGGGAGTGCGAGAGAGCCGGGGAAAGGGGCGCGCACGACCCGGCCGCTGCTCCGCGCAGCCCCTGCGTGCCTCCTGCTGGGACCGCCACCAGGAAGGACCCCGACCCGGAGGAAGGTACCAGGTCCGGGGAGGGGGCTCTTGGCCCCCGGGAGACCCCGCCGCCCGCCGCCCGCTCCAGCAGGTCTGCGGCAGCCCGCGCGCGCGGCCGGACGGGGTGCGGAGGGCGCTGTGGCCCCTGCGGGCCGGTGGAGGGCAGGGCAGGGGTCGAGCCTGGGCCGCAGGGGCGCCGCCCCGGGGGAGTAGGGTCACCTGGGGGTGCGAGGGGGGCGTCGGCGTTAACCTCGCTCTCGCCCCGTTCGTATTCACAGGCTGCGGAGACCTGGGCCGTTCTCCCCGAGTCCTAGCCCCCCCTCAGTTCTTTCCCCCCCGCCCAGTGCCACCCTGGTCTGCGTCGGAAACCGTTTCCTGCCCCTAGTAGTAGCCCCGCGCCAGCGGAAATTGCGCGCGATGGCCGTGACGATGCTGCAGGACTGGTGCAGGTGGATGGGCGTCAGCGCTCGAAGGGGTCTGCTCATTCTGGGCATCCCGGAGGACTGTGATGAAGCCGAACTCCAAGAGTCCCTGGAGGCTGCCCTGTGGCCCATGGGCCACTTTACCGTGCTGGGCAAAGTGTTTCGAGAGGAGGATAATGCCACTGCGGCCCTGGTCGAGCTTGACCGGGAAGTCAACTATGCTTTGGTCCCCAGGGAAATCCCGGGCACCGGCGGTCCCTGGAACGTGGTTTTTGTGCCTCGTTGCTCAGGCGAGGAGTTTCTCAGTCGCGTGTTCCACTTCCTGGAGCAACAGGGGCAGACGGTGGAGAGTGTGACTGGGGCCCTGGGGCTGGGACTGCGCAGGGTGTGCTGGCTCCAATTGGTCAGTCAGGCAGTCCAGCCCTGGGTGGAGACCATGCGGTATCAGCGCCTGGGCGTGTTTTCCGGGAGGGATCAGCCCGGCCCGGGGGAGGAGTCCTTTGAGGCCTGGCTAGACCACACCGCCAATATGCTACATGTGTGGCAGGGGGTCTCGGAAAGGGAGAAGAGGAGGCGGCTGATGGAAGGCCTTCGAGGGACGGCCCTGCAGCTCGTGCATGGGCTCCTGGCGGAGAACCCTGCCAGGACGGCGCAGGACTGCCTGGCGGCCCTGATCCAGGTGTTTGGAGACAACGAGTCCCAGGCGACCATCCGGGTGAAGTGTTTGACCGCTCAGCAGCAGTCAGGCGAGCGGCTTTCCGCTTTCGTGTTGCGGCTGGAAGTCCTGCTGCAGAAAGCCATTGAGAAGGGGGCCCTGGCCAGAGCCTCAGTTGACCACGTGCGCCTGAGGCAGGTACTCACCAGGGCCAACCTTACTGAGCCTCTGGATGAAGCGCTGAGGAAGCTGAGAATGGTTGGGAGGTCTCCAAGTTTCCTACAGATGCTGGGCCTTGTTCGGGAGTCTGAGGCATGGGAGGCCAGTCTAGCCAGGAGCAAGAGAGCCCAGGCAGAGGAAGGAGCTGGTGCCCGGGGCAATGCCCAGGCTGATGCCCGAGCCAATGCTAAGGCAGAGGATGATAAGGTGGAGGAGAAGGAGCAGGAGGAGCAGGAGCGGGAGGAGGAGGACAGTGACGATCGTGACACTGTCCCTGCAGACCTAGGTCAGGCAAGACCCTCAGAGGCCCCTGGGGGCCCCACTCCTGCCCAGACAGGCAGTGCTTCCAGGGCGGGCCCAGGAGGTCCTGGCTGTGAGCCAGAGGGCCTCACCCAGGCAGGAGACCAGGAGGCTGGGGAGCCCCCCGAGGAGGGGCTCAAGCCCATCCCAGAGGAGTCGGGAAACGAGGATGGCGCTGGGGAGACGAGCCCCCCTAAGTCCTCCTCCAGCAAATAGGCTCAGAAGGCCCAGGTACCCCCTCTCCTCTCAGGCAGCAGAGTTCTGGAGGCAGAGGGAGGCCATGCCAGGGCAGCAGCCTCGCCCCACATGGGGACCAGGGCCGAGGGAGGGGCCCACCCAACCCAAGCCAAGCCCCCGGGCACTCCACCACTCCTAAGAGGACCTGAACACCACCATCAGCCCTTCCAAGTGACCAAGATGACCATACTTGACACCAAGTGGGGCAGGGAGAGGTGCCCCCCACCCATGGCAGCACCACACCCAGCCCCAGCCCCAATCCATGCCAACTCAGGCAGCCAGTCTGGGAAACATCCCTGAGTGGCTGGCCCTAGCCTAGGGGAGGGGCACCTGAAGCCGTCTGCCACCCACACTGTACTGGGAGATGTTAGGGGCCATTTCAGAGGTGCCAGCCTCTTGGGTCTCCCGAGAGGGAGACACTCATTTACTTCCCCTGGGGCACGTTGCTCCATGTTCTGGGAAGCCCGCTTGGGTCTCTGTGGGGCCCTTAGTGACCCACGTGTCAAGTTACTCCCCCACCCCACTAGCGAC